GCTGTTGAAAGTCATCGTTTGCTGGTAGAAACATATGGTGAACACGCTCCATCGATTAGAACATGTGAGACATGGTTTCGACAATTTAAAAATGGTGATTTCAATGTGAAAGACAGTGAGCGGTCTCTGGTAGACCACAAAAATGCGAAGACGAGCAATTGCAGGAGTTATTGGATGAAGACCCAACTCAAACTCAACGGCAATTAGCAGAAGCATTACATGTATCACAAGAAACAATCAGCAGACGTTTACGAGCAATGGGAAAGATCAATAAACTCGGTAAATGGGTCCCACACAATTTGAATGAATGTCAAATGGAAAATCGCAAAGTCACTTGTGAAATGCTGCTTCAACGCTACGAAAGGAAATCATTTTTGCATCGAATTGTGACGGGTGACGAAAAATGGATTTATTTTGAAAACCCGAAGCGGAAAAAATCGTGGCTTTCACCTGGCGAAGCCGGTCCATCAACACTAAGGCCAAATCGCTTCGGCAAGAAGACCATACTCTGTGTCTGGTGGGACCAGAGCGATATTGTGTATTATGAACTCTTGAAGCCCGGCGAAACCGTTAATACACAACGCTATCGCCAACAAATGATTAATTTAAACCACGCATTAATCGAAAGACGACCGGAATGGGCCAGAAGACATGGCAAAGTGATTTTGTTACACGACAATGCGCCGTTTCACACAGCAAAACCAGTGAAAGACACCTTGAAATCGCTTGGATGGGACATCCTTCCGCATCCGCCGTACTCCTCAGACCTGGCGCCATCTGACTATCACCTCTTCGCATCAATGGGGCACGCGCTCGCAGAGCAGCACTTCAGCAATTTCGAGGAAGTTGGAAAATGACTCGACGAATGGTTTGCCGCAAAAGACAAGCAGTTTTTCTGGCATGGTATTCATAAATTACCTGAAAGATGGGCGAAATGTGTAGAAGCCGATGACCAATATTTTGAATAAAAAAAAATTAATTTCCCTTGAAAATTACGTGTTTTTTTTACCAAAAAACCGGAAAAAACTTATGCATACACCCGGTAAATGTCATGATCTGATTTACGCTTTTATTATATACCGCCAGTTTACAGCGCTTCGATTCTCTGGCTATCACGAGTGAGTTTTTTGAACAGAAATCGACATATATATTTTCCGCCGTCACTTCAAATCGATGTAGCAATCTTTGGAGGTTATCCTCATCCTCAGATATTATTATGACATCGTCAGCGTAGTAGATTATTTTCATTAAGAGTGTACAGGGCACTTAAGAATCAAATATAACGAAAGAATTTTTTAAAACAAAAACTCAAACGAAAAGTATATTTAATGTACTATTATTCTATAAATAATTAAAAGTTTTATATATATAATATATATATATAACTTTTAATTATAGAATATTACATTAAATATTTGACTCTTAAGTGCCCTGTACACTCTTGATATTGTTGTTTAAATTAAGTCCTTTGTTCTTATAATAATTTATTATTTTTATTTCTTTATTTCCCATTCTGTATTCTTTATCAGCGATTTTCATCTCCTTAATAATTTCGTCCATGATGATATTAAAAAGTATTAAACTAACTTAACTGTCTCTCTGTCTTATTCCGGTTGAGACTGATATTTTCTTTGTGAGATTATTTCTCGTCTTTATGAAGATATTGTTATCGGTATTCAATTCTTTAATGATTGTTACGATGTATGGGTTCAGTTTTCGATTCTTCAATAGCCTTAATACATCGGTAAGTCTCACTGTCAAAGGCTTGTGTAAGGTCGATGAAGCACATGAAGACGGATTTGTTAAATTCGATAGCTTTTTCGGCTATCTGGCGAAATATGAATATTGCATCCGTCGTGGATCTGTTTCGGCGAAATCCCTATTACTCCTCGCTAATGCCTATTGGATGCGACTTCCTCCGATATATAATAATTTTCGTGAAGTTTCGCGACTAAACTCAAAAGACTTATGCCTCTATAGTTCTTAGGATCAGCCTTGATCCCTTTTTTAAAAATGTAGCGTTGCGCATTTTTTCCACTCCTCTGGTATTTTCTTTTCCATGAACATTCTAATAAAGTATCCAAAACTCTTAAAATTGAAATGTTGTTTGTACAAGTCTATCACTGATATACTCTATCCCTTTTATGTTTTCCAATTTTTGGTGAACCTATTTGTACAAAAAATTTGATATCAACAATTGGTGCCAAGTTAAATTCTAGTATCTTCTTATTCCATCTCTCTTCTCCCCCCAAAATAGTAACTTTAATTTTTCTTCAAACATATTTTTATTGAAAATCTTTCTATTTCAAGTAGTAATAGAGCTTTAATTAGCCTTCAAAAATTATTATATAAAAATTATTAGGAATTTCACAGTCGTGTCCAAAAGTTAGGTTTTATTGATGAATTTTTTTGTTAATAACTTTTTAACGAATAACGACCCAATAATATCACACGCCGTTTCCATTTTTATTTTTTCCACTATAAATCAGCAGGTCCTCAAGTCTATGGTTTCCTCAAAAGAATCTTGAATAAGAATATTTTCAAAGAAGAATTAAAACTACTACTGTTAGGTTAGAATAATAAAAAGATATTTAACATATCATTTACTCTATTCGAGAAGCACGTATACTCTTGGTACCTTTTTTGTCTTTTTTTAAAAAGATAAATTTGACCATTTTGTATTAACAAATACCATATGAATTATACATATCTCATTAGAATTATAATAATTAAAGAAGAATTTTGTGATATTACTTGGATCGAAATAGGAAGATAATAATTTGGTAAATATGTCGATAAGGGGAGCCGTGCTTCGGTAACCTTGGCTTTGACATATGTTGTCAAGAAGGTAATGACCTTGAGTGACCTCCAATAGGATTTAGCCGTTGCTCGTTATTCGTTAAAAAGTTATTAACCAAAAAATTCATGAATAAAACCTAACTTTTGGACACGACTGTGTCCGATTAAACAAATTTCCCAATAATTTTTATGTAATAATTTTTGAAGGTTAATTGAAGCTCTATTATTATTTGAAATAGAAAGATTTTTAATAAAAATATGTTTGAAGAAAAATTAAAGTTACTAAAAAACATTGCATTGTTGCGGAAGATTGATATGAAGAAATACTACCAACTTTTTGCGTAACTATAAATTGTATAATTTGTATTTAACCATTTTATTAATGTTGTCGAATTTGCGTTCAATTTTTTTACACTGAGGATGACCTAATAATAAAGTTGAAACGTTGTTCTAAGAATCTGAAATACATAAAAATCTGGCTTGTAGCCCCTTCTTGTTATTTATTGTTTATTATTATTGAGCCATTATAAGATTATTATTTTTATTAAAGTTACTATTATTTTTTGGTAAAGGATGGAATAAGAAGATAGTAGAATTTAACTTGGCGCCAGTTGTTGATATCAAATCTTTTGTACAAATGATACTACTAAAGTATTAAAGTTATTACTTTTTTTGTTCGAAAAAGAATAAATAATACATATCACTGGAGTAAGTAAATTTTGTGATATATCTTTCATGTGATAATTTTTGAAGGACAATTAAGGTTATTATTACTTGAATCAAAATAAAAAGACCTTTAATGAAAATATTTTTAAGAAAAATGAAAGTTACTTTTTTTTTGGAAGGTTAGATTAAGAAGACTTTGCAAAAATACAAAAAAAGATATAACGAGTGTCACTTGATAAAAATTAAACAACGTATATCTCAGTATGATATCAATTTTAATATATCACTTAATAAAAATAGTGTATATCACTTGTGTTCCACTTTTAAAAGATATTTTATCACTTTTAGTAAAGATGATATGTATCAGTTGATTTTATTTTTTAATTTAGTAGAGCGGTTTTTTCAATACGTATCATTTAGGTTTTATCATATTTATGTTTTATCATATAAATAATTTCTTTCAAGGTGCACACAGAGCCTTTTTTAGCTTTTTTTAAAAAGGTAAGTTTATATAAATTAAAGTTACTACTATATTTTTGGGGTAATTTTACTAGAGTTAAGTAAATTATTACTAGAGTTAAGTAAACTTTGTGATATAACAATTTTTATGCAACAATTTTTAAATCCTCCGCGATCCAGGTGAAGTATGGCATATCCCAGCAAAATGAATTTCTATAACTTCTTAAAAAAAAAGTACCGCGCACATGTTGCCATGGTGTCATGCAACTGGAGAAAGCATTGTTATCAATCATACTAACAATAAATTATAGTATAAATTATAGCATATTTATAATGAAGTATAGTATGAGATTTGAGATATATCCAGATATGATCCATATTAATTTTCCTCCTGGTTCGCAAAGATTTAAAGCTATTACTTGACTAAGAATAGAAAGATCTTCAATGAAAATATTTTTGAAAAAAGTTAAAGTTACTATTATTTTTTTGGGGAGAGGTTGGAACATCTTTTTTCAACTTGACGTGTTATTTATATATGAATGATACATATCATTAGAATTAATATTATTTATTTATTATGGGATTTAACTTGACCCCAATTGTTGATATCAAATATTTGTACGAATGATACATATTATTAGATTTAAATAAACAAAGACAATACCACTTGAGTTTTATTTTTAGTATTTATCTTGATTAAATTAACCCTTATGTTACCACCCAGGTACCCGGGTACCCATCGGCGTGCATTATGTTAAATAAATTGTTTCCTGAAGACGTACGCTAAAATCCTCTCGGATCCTCACGATTTGACTAATTTTCTATCAAATCATGCATTAAAAAAATTTTGTTTTTTTTTTCTTCATAAAATTATAATTTGAAAAAAAGTACATGTATGTACCACCTGAGTACCCGGGTACCCCTTATATAAAAATAGTGAAATATACGTATTATGATTTAAAAAAATTGAGGAAATACAATAATTTTTAATAAATAAATTACATAAAATATTATTAATTTTTGATAATTTATTAAACAAATTAAATGAAAATGACGTTTTTATTACATTTCAAAAGTTATTCATTACATTCCAAACATTTCGTAATTTTTGCTATGTGCTCATCGCAAACTGGCTTTTGGCATGAAACGCAGCTCTTTTTTGTCTTTCGCCGTTTCCTAATTGGTTGTTTGTTACAAATATGGCATGCTCCAACTACTACTTTTCTACCAGTCGTATCACGTGGCTGATTGTCAGCAACGACTTCCGCTGCAACTGTAGGACGGTCAATGTAGCTTTCAACTGCCAATTTTGTAGCTGGGTTTCGTACAATTTGTTGATTTGAAGCTCTCTCTTCAATTTCCATAGTCATAATTTTTTTGAAAGTATCAGAAATCGATAACATCTCTGTGATTCTGTGTGGTCCAGCTCTTTGTCGAATAATATTTCTTGAAGGTGTTTGATGAAGGTTCGGTGCATTTTTGAGCCAAATTGTGTTGTCTTTAGCAATAAAAGATGTATTATTACTTCCTAAAACAGATAAAAATGTCAAGTATAAATAAAATATGACTAACTAAATACACATATATGTGCAGCTATAAAAATATAGTTCTTACTTTGCGATGTTGCAGCAGCCTCGTCTTCATTTTCTTCTTCAGATTCGCTTTCACGTTCATTTTCTTCTTCTGCAGCTTCTTCATTTACAGACTCCTCATCACTACCGACATCTTCCTGAAACTCAGCCTCGTAATCACTCTCTTGCTCATTATCAGATACCTCAAGATCAAGATTATCTGCAGGAAGCCATTCGTCGTCTTCACTGTCAGATGATACTAAACTTTCATTTTCTTCATCACCTAATAATACTTTCAAGTATTCTCTTTTTTCAGCTTCACTCAATCTAAACAGATAAATAAATTTATGTAAACTAAAAAAATTATACTTGAAGCAGTCCTGCAATCAATGAAAATATACAAAAAATATATTTATTTTACTTATTGTTTTACATACCTTAGAAATTGTGCTCTTGACAGTTCCTCCATTATTTTATACACAAAATCTAATTTTAAAGTAAAAAAAATATAGGTAAATATTTTTAATAAAAATGTTTATATTTCAGAGTATATGAATCAATAATCGGCGATCTTGAAAATATTTGTGAAAATACTACGCGTCGTTTCACTGCTCTAAGCGATACGTGTTACTGCTCCGAAACGAGAAAGACTAACGCTATTAGCTTAGTTCGCCAGGTACAAACAACTATCCCCTCTCAATTCTTTAAATACCTTTTCAATTTAACACACCTGGCCTTGTCGAAACAAGGGTCAGATTGTGCGGCTGCCTAAATCTTATACCTGCAGAGGATTATAAAGGTTACTGTATACGAATTTATTATTGTACTTTGCTCGAAATATCTCTATGAAATATTAATAAATCAATATTCATCCAATACATAAATTTATTTTCAAGTTTACGACAGTTTTACCTCAAAATTTCTGCATGGGTACCCGGGTACCCCGGGTGGTAATTTTTTAGTGTGGCATTTTTTGGGTGGTAACATAAGGGTTAAGATTGTATCATTTGGATTTGGTAAAACTTTTTCTTTATACAGTCAGCTTCAAGTGATCTATAATTGACCTTGTCCTTAATCCTGACCTTTTCCGTCGCTCGTTACTCATTAAAAAGTTGTAAACAAAACAATTTTCATGAATAGTATATAATTTTCGAACACAAAATACATATTTCAGCAGTATTTTCCTTTGAGTTTCATCCTATTTCCTCCCTCTATCAAGGAGCGTACGACTTTCCACACAAAGCGAATTTCATTCCACTCTCCCCCCTCCCCCACCCCGCCAAGGAGCCCATGACTTTCCATGTGAAGCGAGATCTATCCCCAGCTCCCTCCGTCAAGGAAAAATACTGCTGAAATATAATATGTACCTTGTGTTCGAAAATTACATATTTGTAAAAATCGTTTTGTTTATAACTTTTTAATGAGTCAGTGATGGAAAAGGTCAGTGACCTTAATCTCCTTGAGGTCAAAGTCAAGATCAATGTCAATTGGAAGTCTGAGACTGACTGTTAAAAGAGAAAGTTTTATCTTAGATTTTAATTTTTAATCTGGTACAATAATTTTTTTTCGAGAAATAATTTTTGATAAAGAATTAAAGTTGCTATTACTTAGGTTGGAATAATAAAAAGATTTGTAATGTAATTAAGGTTCTATTCAAGAAGCTCGTATATTAGCGTCCTTTTTTATCTTTTTATTTTTTAAAAGATAGGTTTTGTACTAATATCACGCATTTTGTATTAACAAATCTGTATGTGATTTTGTTTGCATCCTAATCTCCTTTAGTTAAATATTAAATTATAAACAAATGGAGATTGAGGCCGAATAAATCGTTATTATCTTCTGGCTTAATTAATGAGTGTATAATTTATAATTTATACAAGTGTATACAAGTGTATAATTTTATTTCCGTTCGATCTCTTTTTGTTAAATATTAATTATAAACAAATACAGATCGATGACGAATCATGGTGGAAAGATTACATGATGTGCTCAATTTTCAAGCATCTTTCTCTAATTCTTTGCTCTCTCGCTTGTTCGCTAATCGTTCAGATCATAGTTTAGTCAATCTTAGTTGTTGTCTTCGTTATATGCACGTCATTTAGATTCGGATTCTTTTTATCATGTACTACTCAGATTACCAACGTTTGTTCGCGTCGCATGCTCTAATATACTCCTACCATAGCTTTTGCTCATTTTAACGCGTTTGGAGTGATAATAGGAGCTATAATTTAATTATAGGAGTTATAATAGGAGCATGCGATGCGAGCAAACCTATAATATTTGTATAACTATAGTAAAATTCATTTTAGATTTGTGCGAGAGCGCACCGCGCGGAAAAATTCGAGTGAGAGTTCGGCGCACGGCTGGTATGATGCACGACAGTAAAATCAACTCAGTTTCTTTGTAATTTAACAAAAGAATTTCTTTAATATATTCAGTTACAAAGTCAAAAGATATAATTAATTAAAGATCAGATTAACAGAATATTAAATGCGGTCACCTTTTCCAAATTGAGTTTGGAATCGCGGTGATGGAAAATCTCGGCGATTTTTCTCGGCACTTCTCGAAAGATTCGGTTTATAGCGATTTCACTAAACGGTTAGCACGGCGATTTTACGAAGCGAGATTATGACTCTAAGAACTCTAAGAAGTTTTTGGAAGTAAGAAGGAGGACGGCGAGATCGAAGCATTTATTGCTTTCGGCCTGAGCTTTCCCTTTTGGGAAAAATCCAATAAAATTTTGCCACAATCGTAATTATTACGTGGCATTAGGTGTACA